GGACCCTTCTTCATTTTCTGAAGAAGGGTCCAGACCCGAAACGTCAGCTTTCCTGCTCCTCTGATGCTGCTTGGCCTGCTGTGTTCATCCAGCTCTACACCTTGTTATCCCTCCATGTTTAAGACCTGATTCACCAGAGTATCTTCACCCAAGGTCATTTCTCTGCCCAGGAGAAGCCTGAATTGTCCCAGGTGGTTGGTGCCAGGAATGGAGATTTCAGATTGACCAGCACCCACCTTTGTGCCAACCAGGTAGAGAAAACCACTGCCCACCTTCGTCACATCTGGGTGCAGAATATAATCAAACATACAAACACAAAGATATAGTTTCTCACTAACTACAATTACAATATATCAAGCACACACAAATACACCCTGACTGCTGCTTACAAAGGGCAGTGGCTCTGCTGACAGGAGCAGGCTGAGAGGGCTTTAAATGTTTGAGGTTGTGAACAGTAAAAATAATTGGAGCTTTGATGAGATGGTATTGAGGATTGTTGCAAGTATGAATACCAGGACTGGTGAAAGTGGCAGATCAGGTTAAGAAAGTGGTTAATACGGCTTTCTGTAAATGTAGGTATGGTGCACTAAGGAAGGAGGTTACTGAGGACGTTTACAACTGCCTCGTTTGGAGTACTGTGCCTTTTTCTGGGCAGTGCTGCACTTTAGGAAGGAGGTGACTGCGTATAGAAAAGATTCAAGAACTATTCCAGAGCCAAGGGCTTTCAATTATGAGGCGAGAATCTGGCACTCTTCTGCTGAAACTGCAGATGTGATTTGATTGAGCTGTTCAAAATCACAAGGGGTACCGAGCAGGCTTGCTAGGCAGAGGGCTGGGGCAGGCTCGCTAGGGAGAAACTGATCCCATCAGCAAAAGGATCAGGCTTCAGAGGACAGAGATTTTAGGTGAAAGACAAAAGGGACTAGCAGCAACATGAGGACAGCAGTATCTGTGGTCCAACTCTGACTATCCTTGGGAAGATGGAGTACATGGCCTGACAGTGGGGTGGATGGAGATCCAATTGGCACCTTTCAAAAGGAAACTGAATATTTATTGAAAAGAAAAGGTCTGCAGGCAGGGAAACAGAGCAGCTAATGGGCTGAATGGCCTCTATTCACGTTGTATCTATTCCACAGAATGGCATACTTGAGGATATTTATTGTTTTGTTAATTATTTCACAATGTGGAAGCAGGCCATTTGGTCCATTGAGTCTGCACTGACCCTCCAAAGATAATCCCACCCATACCCACACCCCACTTACCCTATCCCTGCAACCCTGCACTTGCCTGAATACTGGGACAATTTTGCAATCCACACTAACCTGCACATCGTTGGACTGTGCAAGGAAATCCATGCAGACACAAGGAGAATGTGCAAACTCCACATGGTCTGTCACCTGAGGATGGAATCGAACACAGGCCCATGGTACTGCGAGGCAGCAGTGCTAACCACTGAGCCATTATGTCACCCTATGGCATAAATACATTTAAGGGAATGAGAAGAGAAATTACTGTGGACACTCAGCAGGTCTGGCAACATCTATGGAGAATCACAGAAAAGCAGAGTTAACATTTCAAGTCCAGTGACCCTTGCTCAGAACTTTGTTAAGTATCATTAACTCTGCTTTCTCTCTCCACAGATTCTGCCAGACCTCCTGAGTTTCCCCAGCAATTTGTTTCAGATTTTCATCATCTGCACCTCTCAGTCTCATTTTACATTGAAGGGAAATTGGGTAAGCACATGAGGGAGAAAAGAATCTAAATATTTGTTAATGGGTGAGATGAGCAGGTGTGGGAAGAGGCTCAGGTGAGCCAGACTGGGAGACAGCAGCAGGTCAAATGCCCCATTTCTGTGCTGCACCTTCTACAAAAGTTCTCCATCTTTCAACTTCAGGCACAAACTCGCGGGCTTGGTGCTGGTACTCAGTGCACCATTCAAGAGGTTTAAACAACTGCGCCAAAGCTCTTCCGAAACAAACCCGCAGTTACCTCCAATGCCACCGAACGTTGTGTGGCTGACAGAGAGGTCTGTCTCCTCTGGCTTTGTCCGGCTGGACGGATGGCCTCTCGCCTGCTCCTGAGCACTGAGGTTAATCGAGCTGTGGCTCAAAGTGTCTCCAGCGGCTTCGTCTCGGCAAACGTGAGGGGCCTCCTTGGGCCGGGCCACATATCGGGAATACAAGGGGTGGTCTCGGTCCAGGGACAGCTTTCCCAGCAACGTCGCTCCTTGGTGAGCGTTTTCTCCATGGTCCATGCCAGCCAGTGGCCGACCAGCTCTGGAAACCGTGTGGCTGTTGGTCTGCGCCAACATGCCCAAACCTTCCTTTGGCTTCTCCGAGAAGTCAGCTGCAGCGCTGCCCCTGAACGAGCCGGATGCTGCTGCCACTGCCGAGTTGCTGGCACTCTCCAAGGCGCTCCCTTGGTTTGGGAGCCGGAAGTCCTTGGGCCAGGATTGACAATTGCTGGAGGGCAGACCCTGCAGCCTCACACTGGGACTTCTGCTGCCAGACTTCAGCCACACGTTGCTGTTACTGCCTTCCAGTGAACGGGAGGCCCGGTGACTCTCCGAGCACAGGATTCCCGGCACAAAGTCAGGAGCCATCCCGGGGCTGAACATCTCGCCTGTC